ATTCAAAAAAGTAAAAAACTTAAAAAATTATAAGGATAAAAAATATTAAAAAATATAATTTTTTCATAAAAACGTTGTTTTTTTAACAATATGAAACTTTGTAAAAAAATATTTTAAAAAAAATTGATACTTTTTGAAATAATGAGTGGTTCATGATAAAAAAATCACCCTGTATATATATATATATATATATATATTATTATTATTATATTTATTTTATATTTATAGGTATATATTAATCCCATGACACTAGATAATTATAAAAATGCTTTGTTAAATTTYATAATACACTTGTAAATAATAGTTATAGGTATATCAAAAAACAATGTCCCAATTTTTCAATATTCAGACAGTGATCAGAACCGAAAAATATATAAATAAATATACTATATTCATTAACTTGAAAATAATTCATAAACAGATAATTTATTTACTTGTATGACTGCAGCGCCACTTTATTGTATACCAAATATAGTATGTTTTCGATACGTGTAAACATATTAATTTAAATTATGTTCAAATATTAAAAATTCTAACCACTACAGTTTTTATACATATACCTACACTATAGATCATAAAAAAAGTAATAAATGAATTATAACATTATGTAAACTAGGTATACCTATGATGTTCGTTAGTATTTCTTTATTTCTAAGTGGCTGGTATTTATCGGTTTTATAGTTTTGAATATAGGAAAAATCCCAATGAACAATAACTAAATAAAAAGTAGGAAATAMAGTTTTTAAATTTTAGATTTAAAAAAAAAAAATTGTTATCTCCATTGACTGTGTTTAACACAATCTTAAACAGTTTGTACACCGTATTTTGCTCTGCATAAGGGCTCTTTGCGACAACCTGGAAAATCACAAACTTACGAAATTAAATCTTCCACGAAAACGACTTCATGGAAAAAATACCATTATATTGGTACAACAACTATAATATATAAATCTGATTTAATTTGGGTTAATTTTGTCAGTTATTTTCTCTAGTGATAAATATGTAAACGATTTTTGAAATGGTTGCCTGAACAATTTCAATATGTCGACTTGTCTGATAGTTGCAAGAAGCTCTTTTAATTTATCGAATACATTACGATTTTATCATTTTGTATATTAATTATAAAATAATAATACGCCCGCACTTAACGGAATGCCGAATGATGTGAGACTCATGATCAAAATATGGATCGTATAATTTTTATAAATATTTGTTCAATATTTAGTGTCATTTAATATAACAGCAACTATTAAACTACCTACTAATAACATAAACATCAATGTCATCTTTTTAGGTACTTACATAACGTTTTAACGAATTAAAGAACACGGCATCCAATGTTAAGTAATATATTATGTTACTATGTTTATATAATCAAAATGTCACATCATGCCAATGAATATCGTATATGGGTTATTCGTTTTGCTATATAAAAAATCAAACAGAAATTATAATATTTGAATACTATTCTCCGCTTAGTTTAAGTATAACTCAATTGAACAGGAACAGTATATACTTAATGTTTTTTTTTCCAATTTATTACTGCGTTGTCGCGTAACAAATAAAATACGCACGAGCTTTAAATTCGACCTAACTTAGTTACTCTAAAAGAAAGCCGACGAATTTAAAATATACGTGAAATCTATTAGATTCTAAGTGTCTGAATGGAGATAAAGAAAAATAATACATTCTATACTCCTTTGCAGTGTGTGCCCTTTTTGAACACACTTCAACTATCGCTAACTTAACGCCAAATGGGGTTTGAAAATCCTCAAAACGTTTATAAGACTTATTTCTACAGTATTTTGTTTCTGTTAAAACAAATCTCTGGGATACTTGAATTTTCTGATGGTTCAGCACTTGAGTGGTGGTCACCTTTACACTCTCCCATCCCATATCACTATCCAAATGGATTGGCTATATAAGGTGACAAATTTCCGGGTGGCTTATGTGAGTGTATGCGCGCGTGCGTTTCTCGCACAAAATAGTATTTGCCGGATGTAACCTAATTTGTATGTTGTTGTATTGTTTCAGGACTGTCAACAGAACCGGAGAGTGAGGAAAAAAAATAAACGCGCCCCTTCTAAATCGTCTCCAATTTATTGTTTGTTTTATGCATTTTCTCTCTGCACYGGGCGATCGATTTGCGCCGYTATGTTGACATTAAAGRCACTGGAAGTAGACTTAATATCCTAGGGTGGTTAGATATAAATAATAATAATAATAATAATACTAAAGGGTAAAGAGTAGTCAGGAGAGAAGAGTAGATAAAATAAAGAAAGGAATAAGATTGTTTAAAAAAATTGTAAATAAGGGGCGCGTTTACTGCACTTTAGGAGGATGTACTCGACAAAAGCAACAGCCATGACGTTCCTGGTGGCCATATTTGCAGTAAGCCCACTTCAGTCTTCCGAAGGTAAATTTACATTTTACATGTATAAATATAATTTTATATTAACTTACAGTTAACACTATCATTATCTTGAAAATCATTAACAGTTATGGAAATATTTTTTACATAAATTGAATTTTGAAGTAATGACTTACAACATTTTAGTATTTTTAATACTCAAAAACTATAAACCGACCTTTTCAAAGTTACAAATTAAAAATATTTTACAAATATGTTTATTTAAAAAAATATAAATCGTTTTTTTTTCAGGGAATGTTAAACGAGACATTTAGTATATTATATAATATACTGCCTTCATATAATTATGTGATTTATTTATTAACACTTGAATCATATATTAACTATTATATATTATTAAATGTATAAAATAGAATTCTATAGTTAAACTGTATTAAGACGTGCTACCATTTTTATTAATTGTGAAAAGTCTAAACATGTCTTTAGTGTATTTGTTTAGGTACTATTATTAATTACCATTATTGTTATTGTCGTTTATTTTGGCTTAACATTTAATGGTCGTCGACGCGACGATTTAAATGCTYCTGTTTAATAATTTTACTGCCTCACTTAAAGTCTTGATTATTCGAATTATTTAGTTTTATCCGTAGAAGTACACCAGATTTCGTAAAGCTGCATTATTACCGACTATGAAGTAAACCTAAATCCCATACCAATTAAATTTGAATTATCACAAGTTAATATATCACTGTTCATATTCATTATGTCTCCTACACCCAGAGAAACTTCACTTTTATTTTAACGCCTCATTAACAACTTTTAACAAGGCTTCAAGTCACCACAAGGAGAAGTAATTTTCTTTGAAAGTAAAAGTTTTTGCTATTTCTTTTTCGAATTACAATTTAATTTGTTTCTTTCTATACCATTCCTTAGTTTTTCGCTGTATCGTAATTTCATGATTATACTGTTATCTTTCTTTTAACTAGCCCCTTGTTTTCACTACATACCTACCTATTAATTATTTCTTTCACCAAAATATACAATGATAAACTTAATTAGCAGCTTCTTTCAGTAGGTAAGTAACTTTCATCCTTATACATATTATTTTTAAATTATAGTAAAAATGTAATGCGTGTATGTATGTGTTCGTAAATTAGATATTTCTACTGGGTAAATATGTAGTATAGTATATATTTTATATGACAAGTTAATATAACACAAAATKAACATTTACAACTTTTTAATACYAACATAGTAATATATAAGCATAATAAACAAAAAATATTGCATAGGATAATATGTACAATTCAACATGGTATAAATATTAATATTTAGATAAACTAATAAAATTAAATAAGCAATTATAATTATGTTAAGGACTAGTAAGCTCTATATTATGCCTTCATGATAACTGACTATTATAGCTCGGAGATAATATACGGTACTATAAATTAATGTCCAGTTATATTGTATACAATCAACTGCATCCCTATWAGTTGCATGAATATCATTTGGAGTGCCTTTGAATGCACGAATCGGGCATTCAGCCGCTATTGAGATTGTTTGTGATTCGTGTCCACAGTCACAGGAAAGGGTTAGTGACTTTGTAGGTTTCATGTGTGCATTATGTGATCAAACCTTTCATGGCCAGTCCATTAGAATTATTATATCATACATTAAATTGTACATAATATGTACAATTTAATTTAATTTAATTTAATTTTTAAAATATATTATATTTTTAAAATTTCCTGCCAATAATAGATATTATTATCAGCTAGTTATTAACATTTCTCAGCTCAAACTAACTTTAACTAGCCTTATGTTTCAACTATATCTATGACTAACCTAATAATTTTTTTTTTCACTGAAATAAAATATAACTAACGATTAAATTAATCATTAGTTTTTTTTTTCGTTTAGCTAGGTAACTCTCCTAATGCATAATATGTAAATAAACCAGATACTCACTAAGTAAATAATATCATAATTTTATATTTTACACATATCTATTWTAGTCATTTTAATTCATACACTGGCATATACGATATTATTATCAGTGATAAACTTCTTCAACAAATCTGAGACAGATCGTTATATTATTTTAAACATGCAAATGATTAAGTAAAATGTTGAAATAACTAAATTTATTTACAATTCAAATACCTAACTGGAGGTGATATCAACGAGTTGCAGAAAGCGATGTCCGAGAACTCCTATTATACGAATCCTTTGTGTAAAGAAAGGAGAGGCTTGTGAGAATATAAAGTTCAAAATATCTAGATATATTCTTAAGGTACGTTTATTCGATGTTATTTGTTTGATATGTTTAGAATTCCAATTAAATTTAACAATGAACAAATAAACTAAATACCTAAATGAAATGTGTCTATTTCTTTAATGTAAATGAATAATAAAACAAAACCGTTAGTATACGTCATATGATATTGATATTAGTGTTATTTATTTCTTTTAAGTTGTTGGTTAATAATTGTAAATAAATAAATTTTATACGTTAAAGAGTTAATAAATAAAAATTTGCTTTGTTTACTTAATACCTAGAGGTATAAGTATTCTAAAGAATCATTTGAAAATGYAATCAGCCACTAAACGACTAATTAATTTGTGGTAAAAATGTGTCTTTATGCCTACTATGTACATAATTTACTATTAATTAAAATTTGAATTGCTCACTCAAAAAGCTTAGCTGCAATTGTCTGGGTATAAGTAATAACCACCGCGGGGTTATTATAAATTAATTTACTCATTGCTTTCACTGGACGTAAATCGGTTTTAATTTAAATTCAAGAAGTATTAATAAAATAATTTACGATTATTGTGTTTTAAACTTCTATATATACCTCTACATTTTTAATTATTTTATGCGACTTTATTATAGATAGTTACATTCTATAAATTCGTCACAATTTCTGATATATTGAAATTTCGTTGAACGAGCCGGGTACGGATATTTATTACAGCGTATAGAAACGTCTGAAAAAGCTATAAAAAAAATGAAATTACTATGTAAACACTATTATGCATTTAAATGTTTTCATATCGAGTCTTATTATTTTTAATCGAATACGCTTTAGTACTGTGAGAGTAGATGATAAATCAACTTCGAAATGAAATGAAAAATTAAATCTATGTAATGTAGACTACTTTCAATCAAAATTTCCTGATTTTTAATTTCGGAAATTTAAAATTAAACACATCAGACTGTCGTCGGTGTCAGCTGCWTAAGTATTCYGCGATAATTTTTAAGTACTAATTCAACATTCCAATGGCGTAACTGTCTTTGCAGGTATCATAATCATCAACTAGGCCCTATAGTTATCACTTTCAGTGACTATTAGCTWTAATAGATAACATAACTTGATGTTGAGTGCTAGTAAAGTTACTTAACTTGTATAGTTAATCAGTATATGATAAATAATCATACGTGGGGAGGAAATAACAATATAATTTACTGAAGTTTCTATGTCGTAAATGATACAAGCCATTTTTTGAATTCAAGAGTCAGACACACATTAACTAACACGCTTTGATTTCTGAGATGGACTTTTGTTTATTATGCTTCGATCGATCACCGGCGTATATTTTTTACATTCCTATAAACGACCCTATCCTTTCACTTCGATTGGATACAGGCGTAGCCTAAAAACGCATGCTGCTGTCCTATAATAACATACACGGTCGACCGTTCGATTTCAATTAATGATAAAACTTCCATCCTTTACCACCGTTGACGTGGGTGTTCTGCTCTCCTCACCCGGGCACGRGCACAATAAAAACTGTTCAGCAGCCCCAATGGGCAACTATACTGTGGAATTTAATTTGCACAAATTCATTTTGGTGTATCCGTACACTTATGTACAACACGTCTATAGCACCCTATTTTAAGTGTATGTGTGTGTGCGYACATGTTAGGCATAACCGTAATAATAGTCAGCTGTGGTGGTTATGTAGTGGATTGCGGTACATGGTTCGCTCGATAACCCYGAAGATATTATTCGCGATGCAATGCACGAGGTTGGGAGCTGCTGCCACGCCGTGCCAGCCGGATTTGCCGGCGAATTTATTGCCGATAAGTTTGGCCTGGACCGGGAGCGTTCTTGGCACAAAACAAGATTCGGCTGCCAGCAAAAGTACAAAAGTTTCATTAAAGATAAAGAACCACCCTCTCAAACTTTACACTTCACAGTAATTACCATCGAAGCGGAATTTATCTACGAAAATAATAAATGAACCCGCGAGAAGTATACCACCGTCGTCGCTGCACCGGTGTGGTGTCTCTTCGTCACGGTGGTACGATGGAGTTGGACTTCTTTGCACCTCTATCATAAATATGTATTTATTATAACGCCGAATCATCCACCTCTGTTTCACTACAAGCCCCATTCCATAAGCATTGTCAGGGAATTTTTGTAGAATGATGTTCGTTGCCAAAATTTCACCCCTCCTCCGTCTACTTCAGTCAAAAATATAAAATATAATATGTATACCTACGAATTATGCGAATCATCAGCTGACATGTTGTAAGGTCAATTATCCTAACATCATCATATTGGTATTTGGAAAATAAAAATATAAAAATAAAACAATTTTAGTTAATACTTGAAACATACTATTAATTAGTTATATCATCATGTGCAGTAATTTTTTATAACACCATTTTTAGTGTAGGAACGTCTAAAAATATATATTACAATTTTATGCAAATGTTCTCTCATAATATAAAAACCAAAAAGTTATATTCGTTAATTTTTGGAATTTTATAACTCATGRAAATTACTTCGATTTAAKAATCTTTCTGCTGTAATAATTTACGTATTGCATTATTTACAATCAAAACAAAGTAATACGCTCTCTCACTCTCGGGTTTGATATTAATTTCGTGTTTTACTTTAGTTCATTTTAATATGAAACTTTTACGGTAGAAATATGCACGGTGCACAACCTACTAATTAAAATGTTTTTGAACGTAATTTATGTTCCACCTACAGAGGTTCAGTGTACCACAAAATGTAATAATTCTACTG